ATTATTAGCTATCTTTGTTATTATTTGTTGTTATTTGTTATTAGTCCCATCCTTCAACTCTATTCAAAACCTCCCATCTATCTCTTAACACCATCCATATAGGATTTCTATTTGCCATATATATTTCAACCGTACTGTAATGTTTTACAAAAGTTCTGAACCTTTCTATTCTCATTGCTTCTACAGATTGTGAATTAAAAATAAACATTTTTGCTAAAAGTTTTATTATATTATTGATTGATTGACTATGACTTTTCAGATCACCCAGTAATGCTATCTGCAAGGTTAGCTCCAGGTAAATATTGCAATCCTTTAGCCATTCCTGGACCTGTGTCCAAAAACAAGCTACAAATGAACAGAACCAAAACAAATGATCTAATGATTCTGTCTCTTCACAGCAAAATCTGCGGAGCTGGGAAAATTGTATCCCCCATATAAATAACATTATATTGGTAGCAAGAATTTTATATAATAATTTAAATTGAAAGATTCTAATTTTTGAATCCGGTGTCGTTTTGCGTGTCAGTTCATAAACACTATGTCATGGGATCGGTACGTCAAAGATCTCTTCCCAACTATTTTGCAATCTATATGGGATGGCTGTCAATCCTTTGTTCCTTAAGTGAAACTGATAGACTTTTTTATTTATCACAGTTTTCCTTAACCAATTATGTTCTTTAATGCAAGGCCGACAGACAAGTTCCTTACTTTCTCCCCCTTCCACTTTCCTCTTCCACTTTTGCGGTAAGGCTGCAATTATTTGATTGTAATTTTGGGTAGAGCAGACATTTCCATATGTTTTTGTTAGCTGCATGTGCGACATAACTCCACCAGTCCTAACCAATGATATCATTTACGAAGATTATACCTTTTTTAAACATTCTGTCAAAAAATAAAGTTTTTTTGTCAATTAGTATATTTGAATTTAACCACAATATTTGTTGCATTATTTGTTCTGTCGTTTCTGGAGGATTACATTGAAATTGCAACCAACTTTCTATGGCTTGTTTTAGAAATAGTGATATTTGGGAGATGATTTCCTTTTCAAATAACTGCAAATGAGTTGTTGTAATCTGAATAAAGGGAAAAAGGCCTTTCTTGAACATTGGGTGAGACAATCTTACTAATTTGCTTGAGAACCAGTTCGGGTTTAAGTATAACTTTTGTATGACTGAAGCTTTTAGTGATAGGTCTAATGCTTTAATATTTAATAATGTCTGTCCTCCGAATTCATATTCATTATATAAATATGCCCTTTTAATTTTGTCTGGCTTGCCATTCCAAATAAAATTGAATATTTTTTTCTCATATAATTTAAAAAACTATTCGCTAGGCATAGGCAAGACCATAAGCAAATAGGTAAACTGGGATAATACTAAAGAGTTAATCAGGGTGATTTTTCCACAAATTGACAGGTATTTTCCTTTCCATGGTAGTAAGATCTTATCTATTTTTGCTAACTTTCTATTAAAATTTATTGAAGTGAGATCTTTTATTTCCTTTGGGATATGTATTCCGAGTATATCCACATCACCATCAGACAATTTTATTGGTAAACTACATGGTAATGTAAAAATTGTATTTTTTAGTGATCCAATATGTAATATAGTACATTTGTCATAATTTGGTTGTAATCCAGAGAGGTTAGAAAATGTATCTAGATCCTCTATGAGGCTGTGGAGGGATTCTAGTTGTGGATTTAAAAGAAAACATGAATCATCAGCGTACAATGACACCTTTGATTTTAAGCCCTGTATTTCTAATCCTCTGATATTATTATTGGATCTGATTTTAATAGCTAACATCTCGATGGCCACAATAAATAGATATGCCGATAGTGGACAACCTTGTTTCACTCCTCTTGACAGTTTAAAACTTTCTGAGAAATAGCCATTATTTACTATTTTACACCTAGGGTTACTATACATGATTTTGACCCATTTTATAAGAGATTCTCCAAAATGTAAATGCTCCAGGCATTTATATATAAACCCCAGTCGAATTTTATCAAATGCCTTTTCGAAGTCTGCTATGAATAGCAGGCCTGGTTTCCCATATTTTCCATAGAGTTCTATTGTTTCCAATACTTGCCTTATATTATCTCCAATGTATCTTCCATGTAAAAAACCTGTCTGATTAGAATGAATAATATCCGACAATACCTTTTTAATTCTATGCGCTATACATTTTGCTAGGATTTTTGCATCACAACACTGAAGTGTAAGGGGCCTCCAATTTTGTAAATGGACTGGATCTTTATATTTTCCACTTGTATCCTGTTTCAGTAATAATGAGATCAGACCTTCTTCTTGAGTGTCAGATAATCTACCATTTACATAGGAGTGGTTAAAACATGCTAATAACGGTCCTCTTAGTATATCAAAAAAGGTTTGGTATACCTCGACTGGTATGCCATCCAACCCTGGAGTTTTTCCAGACTGAAAGTCTTTAATTGCATCCAGAAGTTCCTCCTCTGTAATTTCACCTTCACATGAGTCTTTCTGTGTGGCTGTTAATTTGACATTATCAATAAAAAAAAAAATCTCTACAATTAGCTTCAGTTAGAGGAGATGGAGGCGACTGAAAAGAAAACATATGCTTAAAGTACTTTGTTTCTTCCTTCAAAATATAATTTGGTGAATTATGGGTGAGATCTTGCATGGAGCCCAGGCCGAGGGAGATTGACAGTTCTTTTGTGTTTCTTCCATTTGCGAATAACCGCACCAACTGTTGTCACCTTCTCACCAAGCTGCTTGGCGATGGTCTTGTAGCCCATTCCAGCCCTGTGTAGGTCTACAATCTTGTCCCTGACATCCTTGGAGAGCTCTTTGGTCTTGGCCATGGTGGAGAGTTTGGAATCTGATTGATTGATTGCTTCTGTGGACAGGTGTCTTTTATACAGGTAACAAGCTGAGATTAGAAGCGCTCCCTTAAAGAGTGTGCTCCTAATCTCAGCTCGTTACCTGTATAAAAGACACCTGGGAGCCAGAAATCTTTCTGATTGAGAGGGGGTCAAATACTTATTTCCCTCATTAAAATGCAAATCAATTTACAGAGGGGAAAAAAAGTATTTAGTCAGCCACCAATTGTGCAAGTTCTCCCACTTAAAAAGATGAGAGGCCTGTAATTTTCATCATAGGTACACGTCAACTATGACAGACAAATTGAGAAAAATAAATCCAGAAAATCACATTGTAGGATTTTTTATGAATTTATTTGCAAATTATGGTGGAAAATAAGTATTTGGTCACCTACAAACAAGTGAGATTTCTGGCTCTCACAGACCTGTAACTTCTTCTTTAAGAGGCTCCTCTGTCCTCCACTCGTTACCTGTATTAATGGCACCTGTTTGAACTTGTTATCAGTATAAAAGACACCTGTCCACAACCTCAAACAGTCACACTCCAAACTCCACTATGGCCAAGACCAAAGAGCTGTCAAAGGACACCAGAAACAAAATTGTAGACCTGCACCAGGCTGGGAAGACTGAATCTGCAATAGGTAAGCAGCTTGGTTTGAAGAAATCAACTGTGGGAGCAATTATTAGGAAATGGAAGACATACAAGACCACTGATAATCTCCCTCGATCTGGGGCTCCACGCAAGATCTCATCCCGTGGGGTCAAAATGATCACAAGAACGGTGAGCAAAAATCCCAGAACCACACGGGGGGACCTAGTGAATGACCTGCAGAGAGCTGGGACCAAAGTAACAAAGCCTACCATCAGTAACACACTACGCCGCCAGGGACTCACATCCTGCAGTGCCAGACGTGTCCCCCTGCTTAAGCCAGTACAAGTCCAGGCCCGTCTGAAGTTTGCTAGAGTGCATTTGGATTATCCAGAAGAGGATTGGGAGAATGTCATATGGTCAGATGAAACCTAAATATAACTTTTTTAGTAAAAACTCAACTCGTCGTGTTTGGAGGACAAAGAATGCTGAGTTGCATCCAAAGAACACCATACCTACTGTGAAGCATGGGGGTGGAAACATCATGCTTTGGGGCTGTTTCTCTGCAAAGGGACCAGAAGCATTTCAAGGTCCTGGAGTGGCCTAGCCAGTCTCCAGATCTCAACCTCATAGAAAATCTTTGGAGGGAGTTGAAAGTCTGTGTTGCCCAGCGACAGCCCCAAAACATCACTGCTCTAGAGGAGATCTGCATGGAGGAATGGGCCAAAATACCAGCAACAGTGTGTGAAAACCTTGTGAAGACTTACAGAAAACGTTTGACCTGTGTCATTGCCAACAAAGGGTATATAACAAAGTATTGAGAAACTTTTGTTATTGACCAAATACTTATTTTCCACCATAATTTGCAAATAAATTCATAAAAAATCCTACATTGTGATTTTCTGGAATTTCTATTCTCATTTTGTCTGTCATAGTTGACGTGTACCTATGACGAAAATTACAGGCCTCTCTCATCTTTTTAAGTGGGAGAACTTGCACAATTGGTGGCTGACTAAATTATTTTTTTCCCCCACTGTATAACTGCCTTAATTTTGCTGGACCCCAGGAAGAGTAGCTGCTGTCTTGGCACCACCATCACACACAAAGTGAAACCACATGTGCCACTGATCCCACCAATTAGAGCGTTCACACCATGCAGAGGCAGTTGTTGATGAGGGCAGAAGTGGATCCCCTTCTCACTTCTCTTCTTCTTCCCCTCCTAAATCTCTCCCCTTCTACACTCAATCTTTCTCTCTCTATTCATCTCTCCACTCCCCCTCTTGCATCTTTCTTCTGTCTCTCCCCTTTCCCTCTCCCCTCTCTCTTCTCTTTCCCTCTCACTACTCATCCTCTCTCTATATTCACCTCTCCACTGGTCCTCTTGTTCTCTCTCTATATATTCCCACTTTACGCTCCCCTCTTCCTTCCTTCTCTCTCTCTCTCTCTCTCTCTCTCTCTCTCTCTCTCTCTCTCTCTCTCTCTCTCTCTCTCTCTCTCTCTCTCTCCTCTCTCTCTCTCCTCTCTCTCTCTCTCTCCTCTCTCTCAAAACAGTCACAGTGGGCTACATATATTCAAATAATAATGGATTGGATTCAGATGGCATTTAAATATAGCACATACGTAAATTGTTTGTCACCATTTCACAGCAAGTTTCACACTTCAGAGCAGTTACCTCACCTCCTCCACCCCCCATAACCAACATGTATGAAACATGGAATCAATTTTGTTGCCACACACACACCCACCTACAGTACCATGTTTCCCCTACCATTGTAGAGGTGGGGCAGTCCCCTACCTAGCTCTATTGCCCCTATCTGTGTGTGTGCGTTTATCTAACACTTTGTGTAGCCGTTAGCGATAATGCTAATAATGATAACCATCTTCTGGGTAGATGGAAAGGCTTTCCCAAAAACCTTCTCAATTCAATGTTAACTACAAAGTAGCCTATGCCTACCTGGCAGAATGATATCATGATTATTTGTATCAATCCAGTGGCGATTTGTTTAGCAAACTCTGCAATCACGTGTGCTACAGAAACACTGCTAACCAATCAAGCCTCTTGCTTTGCACACTTGTATCTACACCCAAAAATGAAAATCTCTCAGATTTATTCCAGACCTTCAAAGTGGTCGCCTGATGTGGTTGAAGCATTCTTGTTGATAAAAAAATTCAAATTATGTTGTTTTTCTATGAATAAAGTGTGATTTTGAGAGCGGAAACCTGAAAAAAAACGGGGGAAAAACAAACCTTCAAAAACAAAACAGAGAAAACGTAATTTGGGGAAAAAAACTAAACGGAATTAGACAAAAAAATACAACATATTTTATAGGGCCCTACACACACAGACACACACACAGTGAGGGTTGGTTACCATGGTATCCAGGCCGAGGGTCAGCAGCATGAGGAAGAAGATGATGGCCCAGAACGGAGAGAGTGGAAGTCTGGTCAGTGCCTCCGGGTACACCACGAACGCTATGCCTGGACCTGAGAGTGTTAAATCAGATTGATAATCAGAGCCAAAAATGCCAATGAATACTGAACAAAAGCAAACTATCTGCTCTGACTTGGGTTGTGTGCATATCGAACAGTACTACTCAACTTCAGAATTGGCCAAGCCACTCTCTATCTCTGTAGATATCTTTCTATCTGTCTATGGTCATACACTATCTGATCCTACCAGACCTGGGTGTCAAATCATTTCAAATACTCTATCTGTATTTTGATTTTTCAACCATTTGAACCCAGGTCTGGATGCTTCATGATCCCTATATGATCCTATATGAATGTGTAATTTACCTTCATCTGCCACCTTCTCAATGGGCACCTTCAGTTCATGGGCCATGAATCCAATGACGGAGAAGATGACAAACCCAGCGAATATACTGGTGGCACTGTTAACTATGCACACTATGATGGTGTCCCTAAACAAGAGAAGAGGGGCGAGAAAGGGATGTAAGTGTTACAGGGCTGTAACACTTACAGTATCGGAGAACTTTGAATGTTTTTGGAGTATTATCACACTCAAGTGAGTGGCTATATGTTGGTAATTGTTATTATGTGTCAAAACAACAAAACATTTTAATAACATAACCTAAGGATGTTCTAAGTGTTTTACAGGAGTTGGTACCTGGTTTTGTTAAATAATGTCTTATTTTACATATCTATCGACCATTGCCATGTGTGATATTGAATAGATGTATGAATAAATAAATGAACTATCTTCTGTGCAGTCTTATCCAAATGCAGAACATTTGTGGAGAGGTACAACAGTATCACAACACTCAAACTATCATGGCAAGAAACAAAACATGAAGCAGGCAGATTTCCATGATGACAATTGTATGTTTTTGTGAGGTGTAAATTCACAGAATTGTTGCTGGATAGATTTATTTAAAAAGACAATCAATGTACATTCCAACTCTTGCTTGTACAATCGTTGATTTTACAATCGTGCAAACGTCTGTTATAACTGCTCAAACTAGTTTCAAGTAAGGTGTCGTATGTAGGGGATACACATGGTATGGGGCCAGTATGAAAATGTATGCACTCACTAACTGTAAGTCGTTCTGGATAAGAGCGTCTGCTAAATGACTAAAATGTCAAATGTATACACCGTCCAATTAAATGCTTATTTGTAGGTTCCTTCTCGACAATGCAACAACAATAAGAAATAATACAAGATAAGGATAAATAAATAAAATAAATAATATGCCATTTAGCAGACGCTTTTATCCAAAGCGACTTACAGTCATGCGTGCATACATTTTTTTTTGTGTATGGGTGGTCCCGGATACAAACATAAAGTAAATGGCTCAGTAGAATAGAATAAACATTTTAGCATAAGTATAATACAGGAAGGCACAATTTATAGTCAAATATTTACACGTGTTTGGGGGAAGGGGGATTGGGGGCAAGTGTTTAAATTGTGCAATATTTAGCAATCATAATAAGAGTCTGGTAGCAGCAGTTGTGATGTGTGTGGACGTGTGTGTGGACGTGTTTAACTATACTTGTGGGGACCAGAAGTCCAACTGGGGGGGTTTAGGGTTAAGGTTAGAATTAGTGTGTGTGTGTGTGTGTGTGTGTGTGTGTGTGTGTGTGTGTGTGTGTGTGTGTGTGTGTGTGTGTGTGTGTGTGTGTGTGTGTGTGTGTGTGTGTGTGTGGATGAGTGTTATCTGTGTGGGTGTGTGCATGTGTGCTAAGGTGCGGAGAGTCAGTGCAGGTGGTCGGTCCATTTCAAGTGTTCAACAGTCTTGTTCAACAGTCTTGTTCAACAGGCTTGTAGATAGAAACTGTCTCTGAGCTTGTTGGTATCAGACCTCATGCTCCGATACTGTCTGCCCAACAGTAAGGACAGCTTCATAAAAAACAGGTGTAGACTAACAGTGAAATGCTTACTTAAGGGTATTTTTCCAACAATGCAGAGTGTAGCTTAGTTGGTAGAGCATGGCGCTTGCAACGCCAGGGTTGTGGGTTCGTTTCCCACGGGGGGCCAGTATGAAAAAAAATAAGGTATGCACTTACTAACTGTAAGTCGCTCTGGATAAGAGCGTCTGCTAAAATGACTAAAATGTAAAAAAAAAAAAAAAAAAAAATCTTGTGGCATAAATACAGAGTGAATAACGAATAACAAAAACAAGAAAGAATAACATGTACAGTGCCTTCAGAAAGTATTCACACCCCTTCACTTATTCCACATTTTGTTGTGTTACAGCCTGAATTAAAAATGGATTGAATTGAGATTGTTTTTTTGCACTGGCCAACGCACAATACCCCATAATGTCACAGTGGAATTATGTTTTTCAAAATAAAAATAACAAATATACATTTATATATTTAAAAGTTGAAATGTCTTGAGTCAATAAGTATTCAACCCCTTTGTTATAGCGAGCCTAAATAAGTTCAGGAGTAAAAATGTGCTTAACAAGTCACATAATAAGTTGCATGGAGTGTGTGCAATATAAGTGTTTAACATGATTTTTGAATGACTACATCATCTCTGTACCCCACACATACAATTATCTGTTAGGTCCCTCAGTCGAGCAGTGAATTTCAAACACAGATTAAACCACAAAGACAAGGGAGGTTTTCCAATGCATCGTTGGTAGATTGGTTAAAAATTTTTTTGCAGACATTGAATATCCCTTTGACCATGGTGAAGTTATTAATTACACTATCAATACACCCAGTCACTACAAAGATACAGATGTCCTTCCTAACTCCATTGCCGGAGAGGAAGGAAACCGATCAGGGATTTTACAATGAGGCCAATGGTGACTTTAAAACAATTACAGAGTTTAATGGCTGTGATAGGAGAAAACTGAGTATGGATCAACAACATTGTAGTTACTATTGACAGAGTGAAAAGAAGGAGGCCTGTACAGAATTAAAATATTCCAAAACATGCATCCGGTTTGCAACAAGGCACTAAAGTAATACTGCAAAAAATGTGGCAAAACAATTGACTTTTTGTCCTGAATACAAAGTGTTATGTTTGGGGAAAATCTAATCCAATCCAACACATTACTGAGTACCACTCTCCATATTTTCAAGCATAGTGGTGGCTGCATCATGTTATGGGTATGCTTGTAATCGTTAAGGATTGGGGAGTTTTTCAGGTTAAAAAAATAAACGGAAACGGAAGTGTGTGTGTGTGTGTGTGTGTGTGTGTGTGTGTGTGCCTGTGTGTGTGTGTGTGTGTGTGTGTGTGTGGGTGGGGGGGTAGAGTCCAGTGTGTGTGCATAGAGTTAGAGCAAGAGAGTTATTGCAAAAAAGGGTCAGAGAGAGCAGTCTACGGCTTGGTTGGCTGGAGTCATTGACCATTTTTTGGGCCTTCCTTTGACACCGCCTGGTATAGAGATCCTGGATGGCAGGGAGCTTGGCCCCAGTGATATACTGGGTTGTACTCACCACCCTCTGTAGCGCCTTGCGGTCAGATGCCTTGCAGTGGCCGTACCAAGAGGTGATGCAGCCAGTGAAGATGCTCTCAATGGTGCAGCTGTATAACTTTTTGAGGATCTGAGAGCCCATGCCAAATCTTTTCAGCTTCCTGAGGGGAAAGAGGCGCTGTCGTGCCCTCTTCACAACTGTGTGGGTGTGTGTGGACCATGTTCCTTAGTGATGTGGACACCGAGGAACTTGAAGCTCCTTTGTCTTGCTGACGTTGAGGGAGAGATTGTTGTCCTGGCACCACACTGCCAGGTCTCATCACAGCCTACCTCATCGTCGTCGGTGATCAGTCCTCCCACCGTCGTGTCATCAGCAAACTTAATGATGGTGTTGGAGTCGTGCTGGCCACACAGTCGTGGGTAAACAGGGAGTACATGAGGGCACTGAGCACACACTCCTGAGGGGCCCCAGTGTTGATGGTCAGCAAGGCGGATGTGTTGTTGCCTACCCTTTCCCGCCTGGGGGCGGCCCATCAGGAAGTCCAGGATCCAGTTGCAGAGGGATGTGTTCAGTCCCAGGATCCTGAGCTTGGTGATGAGCTTGGAGGGGACTATGGTGTTGAATGCTGAGCTATAGTCAATGAACAGCTTTCTCACATAGGTGTTCCTCTTGTCCAGGTGGGAGAGGGCAGTGTGGAGTGCAATACAGATTCCATCATCTGTGGATCTGTTGGGGTGGTATGCAAATTGGAGTGGGTCCAAGTTGACTGGGATGATGGTGATGATGTGAGCCAAACCAGCCTTTCAAAGTATTACATGGCTGTAGATATGAGTGCTACAGGGCGATAGTTATTTAGGCAGGTTACCTTGACATTCTTGGGCACTTTGAATCCAATCAGGAAGCCTTTTGTGGCTAGCTCATCCAATTCTATTGACTATTGTGTCACCATGGATACTCCAGCTGTTTTCAACGGGACAGTTACCTTCAGTCAGGCAGCCTAATAAATATTCCATACTGATATCTCCATTTTGCTATATTAATTACATTTGTCCATCGGAACAATGACCAAAGAAAGAGGTATTTTCAATGTCTGCAAAATGTATTTTCAACTTTCACTTAGAACTGAAAGACGTCTTTCAACGTCCGTAAAATCTGTATTTTCAACGTCCTTAAAATACATATTTTCAACGTCTTTATGTTGATGTTCAATTTGAGTCCTGGTTGCTGCCAACATTTCTCAATATATTTTTTCCCTCTGAGTATTATCATCAGTAACAATAAAATCTATTATTTGAACAGACCATGGCCAAGTTATGTATTTCACAATCATTTCGTAAAGTAATTACTATTTTACCACGGCAACTCTACTGTGGCAATTTACCCTACATACAGGTAACTGCCAAAATAAAGGAAACACTTCCGTAAATAAGGAATGCAAACAGAGCTCTAAAGAGCGGCCATTTTGGTGGCATATGCTCCTAGATATTTTGCTGTGCAACCTGACCTTTTATTTTGGGAGCACCAGTGCGACCAGGAAAAACATCACCCAGATAATAATTATTGTAATGATAGGCTTCACTGTGCAGTTGTTTCCGAGTGCCCTAGAGAAAAAAGTGAGTGCAGATTCGTTCAATCCAAAGCCTACATGTAAAGAATATTAAAGAATGCATTAGTTATTTGTATTTCTTGACACTTTCTGAAGACGTAACGGCATGGGAATGCCTGTGTCTACCACTTTGTGTAGCCAGTTAGCGATGCTGAAACAGTCTTTTCCATAAAGCCTTCCAAATTAAATATTAATAACTGATGATTTGTATCACTCGGGTGGTCTTTCATTTAGCAAACTCTGCTATTGCACATGCAGTACAGAAACACCTCCAGACTCTTGAGTTGCACAATCAGGGACGTCATGCACACAAAAAATCTAAGGGGGCATAGAGAATTTTGTATTTTCAAAAACCTGAAACAGCTTTTTCCTGCAATCTAGAGCCATAATCAGTATGCTTAATTCTATGTCAAAAATATGTATATTTTTCTGCATATCTAAGCATACCTATTGAGCTGTTAAAAAAAATAAAAATGTAATATGCTTCTCTGCATCTCTGCTAAACTCTGGGTAAAAGACTGAATGGAATGTGAGTCTTATTCAGTACATTTAGTTATTGCTTTCTTTTCTAAAGTCTACAAACCTTGCCAGCAGGATAAGATACAGGTAATTGCCAAAATAATGGAAACACTTGAGGATATGAGAGAATGCCAAGAGTGTGCAAAGCTGTCATCAAGGCAAAGGGTGGCAATTTGAAGAATGTCCAATATAAAATATATTTTGATATGTTTGACACTTTTTTGGTTACTACATTATTCCATATGTGTTATTACATAATTTTGATGTCTTCACTATCATTCTACAAAATCAAATATTTTAAAATATAAAGAAAAACCCTTGTGTGTCCAAACTTTTGAGTGGTAGTGTTAAACAAATCAAAATATTTATTATATTTGTGATTCTTCAAATAACCACCCTTTGCCTTGATGACAGCTTTGCACACTCTTGGCATTCTCTCAACCAGCTTCATGAGGTAGTCACCTGTAATGCATTTCAATTAACAGGTGTGCCCTCTTAAAAGTACATTTGTGGAATTCCTTTCCTTCTTAATGCGTTTGAGCCAATCAGCTCTCATGAGGACTGCCACAGGAATGGAAGACCTAGAGTTACCTCTGCTGCAGAGGATCATTTAATTAGAGTTACCAGCCCAAATAAATGCCTCACAGAGTTCAAGTAACAGACACTTCTCAACATCAACCGTTCAGAGGAGACTGCGTGAGTCAGGCCTTCATGGTCGAATTGCTGCAAAGAAACCACTACTAAAGGACAGCAATAAGCAGAAGAGACTTCCTTGTGCCAAGAAACATGAGCAATGGACATTAGACTGGTGGAAATCTGTCCTTTGGTCTGATGAGTCCAAATTTGAGATTTTTGGTTCCAACCACCATGTCTTTGTGAGACGCAGAGTAGGTGAACAGATTATCTCCGCATGTGTGGTTCACACCGTGAAGCACGGAGGAGGAGGTGTGATGGTGTGCTTTGCTGGTGACACTGTCAGTGATTTATTTAGAATTCAAAGACATACTTAACCAGCATGGCTACCACAGCATTCTGCAGCAATACGCGCTTAGCGGCGATACACGCTTGTTTTTCAACAGGACAATGACCCAATACACCTCCAGGCTGTGTAAGGGCTATTTGACCAAGAAGGAGAGTGATGGAGTGCTGCATCAGATTACCTGGCCTCCAATATCACCCAACCTCAACCCAATTGAGTTTGGGATGAGTTGGACCGCAGAGTGAAGGAAAAGCAGCTCCTTCAAGACTGTTGGAAAAACATTCCACGTGAAGCTGGTTGAGAGAATGCCAAGAGTGTGCAAAGCTGTCATCAAGGCAAAGGGTGGCTATTTGAAGAATCTCAAATATAAAATATATTTTGATTAGTTTAACACTTTTTTCTTTACTACATGATTCCATATGTGTTATTTCATAGTTTTGATGTCTTCACTATTATTCTACAATGTAGAAAATAGTAAAAAATAAAGGAAAACCTTTGAGTAGTTGTGTCCAAACTTTGACTGGTACTGTATATATATATATATATATATATATATATATATATATATATATATATATATACAGTGGGGAAAAAAAGTATTTAGTCAGCCACCAATTGTGCAAATTCTCCCACTTAAAAAGATGAGAGGCCTGTAATTTTCATCATAGGTACACGTCAACTATGACAGACAAATTGAGAAAAAAAAATCCAGAAAATCACATTGTAGGATTTATAATGAATTTATTTGCAAATTATTGTGGAAAATAAGTATTTGGTCACCTACAAACAAGCAAGATTTCTGGCTCTCACAGACCTGTAACTACTTCTTTAAGAGGCTCCTCTGTCCTCCACTCGTTACCTGTATTAATGGCACCTGTTTGAACTTGTTATCAGTATAAAAGACACCTGTCCACAACCTCAAACAGTCACACTCCAAACTCCACTATGGCCAAGACCAAAGAGCTGTCAAAGGACACCAGAAACAAAATTGTAGACCTGCACCAGGCTGGGAAGACTGAATCTGCAATAGGTAAGCAGCTTGGTTTGAAGAAATCAACTGTGGGAGCAATTATTAGGAAATGGAAGACATACAAGACCACTGATAATCTCCCTCGATCTGGGGCTCCACGCAAGATCTCACCCCGTGGGGTCAAAATGATCACAAGAACGGTGAGCAAAAATCCCAGAACCACACGGGGGGACCTAGTGAATGACCTGCAGAGAGCTGGGACCAAAGTAACAAAGCCTACCATCAGTAACACACTACGCCGCCAGGGACTCAAATCCTGCAGTGCCAGACGTGTCCCCCTGCTTAAGCCAGTACATGTCCAGGCCCGTCTGAAGTTTGCTAGAGTGCATTTGGATGATCCAGAAGAGGATTGGGAGAATGTCATATGGTCAGATGAAACCAAAATATAACTTTTTGGTAAAAACTCAACTCGTCGTGTTTGGAGGACAAAGAATGCTGAGTTGCATCCAAAGAACACCATACCTACTGTGAAGCATGGGGGTGGAAACATCATGATTTGGGGCTGTTTTTCTGCAAAGGGACCAGAACGACTGATCCGTGTAAAGGAAAGAATGAATGGAGCCATGTATCGTGAGATTTTGAGTGAAAACCTCCTTCCATCAGCAAGGGCATTGAAGATGAAACGTAGCTGGGTCTTTCAGCATGACAATGATCCCAAACACACCGCCCGGGCAACGAAGGAGTGGCTTCGTAAGAAGCATTTCAAGGTCCTGGAGTGGCCTAGCCAGTCTCCAGATCTCAACCCCATAGAAAATCTTTGGAGGGAGTTGAAAGTCTGTGTTGCCCAGTGACAGCCCCAAAACATCACTGCTCTAGAGGAGATCTGCATGGAGGAATGGGCCAAAATACCAGCAACAGTGTGTGAAAACCTTGTGAAGACTTACAGAAAACGTTTGACCTGTGTCATTGCCAACAAAGGGTATATAACAAAGTATTGAGAAACTTTTGTTATTGACCAAATACTTATTTTCCACAATATTTGCAAATAAATTCATAAAAAATCCTACAATGTGATTTTCTGGAGAAAAAAAATCTCATTTTGTCTGTCATAGTTGACGTGTACCTATGATGAAAATTACAGGCCTCTCTCATCTTTTTAAGTGGGAGAACTTGCACAATTGGTGGCTGACTAAATACTTTTTTTCCCCACTGTATATATATATATATATATATATATATATATATCGTCTGGTGCTACCAAAGTTTTTTATTCATTTAAAGCCCTGGATACAAAGTATATTGAAACCAGGTGCTTCCACACAGGTGTGGTTCCTGAGTTAATTAAGCAATTAACATCCCATAATGCTTAGGGTCATGTATAAAAATACCCAGTTGCCCATTATTTTGGCTACCATGGCTAGAAGAGATCTCAGTGGCTTTGAAAGAGGGGTCTCAAAGGAGCATAGGGGGTTTAAAGTGTGTGTTTGTTTGTGTTTGTTTTAACACACAGGTGCATGTAATCTCCCATTAGTAATGTTTTAAGAAATCCAACTCTAACACACAGCTCCGTGTTGAATTCTGCCTGTTGATTGCAATTGTATAGTAAAACATTTTTGGCATGTGTTGTTTCAGAAAATATAATTTTAAAATAGTTGACAATACCTGAATTCCCACCACAATTCCTGGATATTATTGATTTAATGTCTCTCATTCATTGTCCTCTGTAGCTTACGTGGTAGAGCAAGACGCTTGCAATGCCAAGATAGTGGGTTTGATTCCTGGAACCACCCATACGTGAAATGTATGCATGCATGACTGTAAGTCACTTTGGATAACAGCATCTGCTAAATGGTATATATTTATATATATATATATATTATCATTCTGATGTAGTTATATAATGGTTTATGTGCAGTCAACATTTCATAGATTTTCTTAGTATCTTACTCCATCATACAGCTGTTACATTTATCAGAACTGTACTTTTGACCTTTTCTACATTTTGACGACTATTGCTAAAACAACCGTATGTTGTCATAGAGTCACGTGTTTACTTTCAAAGCTACATAACACAGTATGTTACATCAAGCAGATTGCTGTGATTACACCAATTTGAGTCTGCATCGTGTTTTATTTTTGCCATGGAAAACGTAATATTGTGAATATCGTGATACAACTTCTTATTTACCCGTATGTAACGGATTTGGATTGGTAACCTCACTCCTCAGTTTGAAATGTCTCTACCCGCACCATTGAGTTGCTAGCTTTACGGTGGCACAGCTGGCTAAGATGTTGTCAAGAGGGCGGTCACGTGTGATTACGAGACAGAGGATTCGAGATAACTCCCAGGGAATCGAAGCTGTTAAGCAGCACAGTGAGAAGTGCTTACCTGTAGCAGTTGTTGTGGAACTTGTTGTAAGAGGACAGTGTGATGAGGCCTCCCCAGGCTGCTGACAGAGAGAAGAAGATCTGGGTGGCAGCATCCTTCCACACCTAGAGTAACACACACACATTCACACTCACTGTTAGAGAGAGGGATGGGCAGAGAAATGTGTGTGTGCACGCATGTGTATGTGAATCTATTTGTGTGCCTGTGCGCACTTACGTGTGTGTATGTATACCTTAGCATCATTGAGTTTCTCCCACTTGGGTGTGATGAAGTAGAGGATGCCGTCACCAGCCCCTGGGAGGGTCACTCCTCTGAACAACAGAATGACCAGAACCACATAGGGGAACGTAGCTGTGAAATACACCACCTAGGAGAGGGGAGAGGGAGAGCGAAATGAAGGGAGAGTAAGCAGGTTGTGTGATAAGTGCACTGATTCAACACTTTTAGTTCAATAACAAACCCACTAGTGGGCAACATTACATAAGAATTCACAGAACTACACACTTTTTTTTTATGGTTCTGGGATTTCACAATTCATTTTCTCCTTTCCCCCCTTCTGATAACCAGGTGGCAAATCGCATCTCTGCATGTCTGGCAGACATATCAGTGTGGATGTCGGATCACCACCTCAAGCTGAACCTCGGCAAGACGGAGCTGCTCTTCCTCCCGGGGAAGGACTGCCCGCTCCATGATCTCGCCATCACGGTTGAAAACTCCATTGTGTCCTCCTCCCAGAGTGCAAAGAACCTTGGCGTGACCCTGGACAACACCCTGTCGTTCTCCGCTAACATCAAAGCGGTGACCCGATCCTGCAGGTTCATGCTCTATAACATTCGCAGAGTACGACCCTACCTTACACAGAAAGCGGCACAGGTCCTAATCCAGGCACTTGTCATCTCCCGTCTGGATTACTGCAACTCGCTGTTGGCTGGGCTCCCTGCCTGTGCCATTAAACCCCTACAACTTATCCAGAACGCTGCAGCCCGTCTGGTGTTCAACCTTCCCAAGTTCTCTCATGTCACCCCGCTCCTCCGCACACTCCACTGGCTTCCAGTTGAGGCTCGCATCTACTACAAGACCATGGTGCTTGCCTACGGAGCTGTGAGCGGAACGGCACCTCCTTACCTTCAGGCTCTGATCACACCCAAACGAGGGCACTACGTTCATCCACCTCTGGCCTGCTAGCCCCCCTATCTCTACGGAAGCACAGTTCCCGCTCAGCCCAGTCAAAGCTATTCGCTGCTCTGGCACCCCAATGGTGGAATAAGTTCCCCCACGACGCCAGGACAGCGGAGTCACTGACCACCTTCCGGAGACACTTGAAACCCTACCTCTTTAAGGAATACCTGGAATAGTATAAAAGTAATCCTCCCCCCCCCCCCCCCATAAAAAAAGTGGTTGTCCCACTGGCAATCATAAGTTGAATGCACCAATTTGTAAGTCGCTAAATGACGTAAATGTAAACGAAAATGTAAATTTCACAGGGGGAAATTATACAAGTCCACTCCCTGGTGGCTAAAGGAGGTACCACATGAGCAGATAGCGAGTGAAAGGGGGAAGAGAGAGAGATTTCTCTTACTTTCCCTGATGACTTGATTCCTTTGGCCAGGGAGAGGTAGACTATCAACCAGGCCAGCAACAGGCAGCCTGCGAGGGGCCAGCGGATGTCTCCAGGGTACTCTATCCCTTTGGAGATGTGTAAGACATTGTACCTATTGGGGGGGGGGGGGGGGGAAGAGAGAGAGAGAGAGAGAGAGAGAGAGAGAGAGAGAGAGAGAGAGAGAGAGAGAGAGAGAGAGAGAGAGAGAGAGAGAGAGAGAGAGAGAGAGAGAGAGAGAGAGAGAGAGAGAGAGAGAGAGAGAGAGAGAGAGTTATTTCCCAGTCACATAAAACTGTTATTTCAGATCTGACATTTATTATTCCAACATATCAATCAATAGCGGGAAACAACTGTGTCTATACAGCCCAATAACTGTGGCCTAATTCTGTTAGAAAGGAAACCAACATTTACAGTATAGTATGAGAAATCACAAGCATCATCAACCAGCAGGCCTACTTCAAACATAGAACCTCTCTGTAACTCTGATGAAAGTTTTATTTTTTAAATATATTTTTTTTACAATATTTGTATTGAATACTTTTTTAGCTGCTGTATTGTTTGCGATGAGAGCTGTGTACACTACACTATATCCTGTGCATATGACAAATAAACGTTGATTTGACTTACTTGAAGTACTCCTCGCTGGGGCTGACGTAGGTTTTGTTATCCGGATAGGTCATGTTAACCAGTTTGGTCAGGTTTCCAATGGCTTGAGCCGACAGACAGAACGAGCTGTTCTTTATAGAGGTGAAGTTTTTATCATGAAGGATACACGTGTCTGTCACAACCAGAAACCAACATATGTCAACCAGGACAGACAGACAGGTTTACATACACTGTATCGAATCAGAGAAAAAAATACATCTCAACAGGGACAGACAGACATCTTTATAATCTGTCTTTAAAACTGTATCAACTCTCACAGTTTTCTCAGGTGGTGGGTATAATGTAGAATAGATACTTGCCCAGCTCACTGGTTCATACACCGAAAACAGTGATCTCTGCCATGCTTTACCGTACTTTACATATTACTGTACTTTATACCCATTACAGGAAATGTCCTCTATTCTCAGATGAAAGCCATTCACCCACTGTATGGATGAAGCATGTTTTATATGTGTAATGGTTATTTTTCTTGTAACAAAACTGTTAAAAAAAAAGAAAATTATGAAATAACCTTTTCCCCAATATTTTTTCAGATGATATCAAATGTATTTTACGCTTAGAATAAACGTTGAAACGTTCAGCACGTTTGACAAAGAGTAGATCTAATTTCGCTTTGTATAATCATCATACGTTTGTTGTATTACCAATGAAAGCTACGGGTTGACACAGCATACATTCTACACAAGGATACAGAGGAGAGAGACCAGGGAGAGTACAGTTACTGTAACTCTTACTATGACCAAGAGAGGGCGGTCTGGCGCACACTGCGGCACTGCAGCAACTCCACTACAGTAAATGTGTCAAGCAAGCAACTTTTGTGCTGAATTCACTCAAATGCAATAGACAAAAATGGCATTTTCTTAATCAAATTTCGATTTTTTCCTTGCAACTGGGAGTAAATATTCCGGTCATACTGCGAGCCTTTCTTTTAGCGATTGATCTTTTTAAAAAACATTATTGTAACCCAATGCAACCCTAAAAAAACAATGAATCATAATTGCAACAGTGCAAAACGAATTTGTCTACTTAGCCTACACCTTATTGAAAATTCATATTTTGTATAACTGCTTTTTGCTCATGATATGTTTAGAGTAGAATAAAGATATAATCAGAAAAGCCTACACACAGTTGAAAAAATAACTTGAGACCCACAGAAGAAATATACAAATCAATATAATAAACCTAGTAAGCAAAAGCAGCACTTTTTGATGTATATGAAACTAGAAAACAATGCTTAGAATAGCCGGTCACTCTACACTATAGGGCAGGTTACAGACAGGGACCTTAGCTGATGGGTGCGTTGCGCATTGCGCAATGGTGAGTATGTGTGTGTGTGCGCATGCATGAGAGTGTGTGTGCGTTCTGGCGCATTGTGGTCTTACCTAAGAGAAGCATGTCTTTGTCCTTACAGTCAAACGTGTTCCACTCGTTCTTACAGTTAGCCCAAGGCAGTGAGCCCTTCAACGAAGCGAACAGGTAGTACAGTGTCCAGCACATTATAATGTTATAGTATATGGCTATCAAGACAGATATTATCAACATGGCAATCCCGCAACCTAAAATAAATAAATGAGACGAAATATATAAATTACTCTTAAGCAGGCAGAGGAGCTTGATCAAAAGTAATTATATTATATCAAATAGGTAGTTATCATTTTTTCTGAAGGTAGTGTATGTTACACGTTTTAAATATGTTACTTTATGAGTTTGGATCGCAGCCTGTATATGCGCAGTTTACCTTGCAGAGCCGGGATGGCTTTCCACACGGACACCGGGCCCTGGCTGGCAAACTGACCCAGGGAAACCTCCAATAAAAATATAGGGATCCCGGCGAGGCACAACATTATCAGGTAGGGAATCAAAAAAGCACCTATATACACAGGGAAACGGGGCAGCATTTCAAAGTAGCGCACAGGTACAAGTGAAAAGAGATTCCTCAAACTTGGCTTACATGATGTAAAAAGAAGGCTATAACAGAATTAATTCGACTGCCTTTCTCATGAATAAAGAGATTATGTATGGCAGGTAATAATGAAATAAATGTGACATATCTATATGGGTTATACTTATTTGCTTCCCTTGCATGTAGCCTAATTAGTTGTATTAGATAGCTAGAATATAATAATGTATAGAGTGTAGACCAAACTAAACTGAAATGAAGATAGGCCAAGTAATAATAATAAAATAATATAAATAATATTTTATTTACAGAAGTGATTATCAATCATAAAGCCTAAATAATTTAACTAAAATCCACGAAAAAGACTAGTCTCCTAGACGCTGAAAAATAATATGTTAGCTAGACGCTTTCTATAACTGTTTGGAAAACGTATCATAAAAAGTCGCCCATTCCTTTAGAGAAGAAAAAGCAAACAAAAAGGAAAGTGAAGAATATGTTTTTCGACACTAATTTCAACTCCAATCATATATCCTAGCAAGTGAATGAATTAAAGTAATGTATTTTCGTTTGACAATGTTAAAATACATTAAGCGTACTGTTGTTTAAACAATGGCAAAACAAAAATACAAATCATCCAGGATAAAAACACAATTATGTCTACTTACTCCAATTATGTTCCTCGAATTTAATTTAATCGTCAATTTCGTTCATATCAATTATGCGTGATGTCAAACATCTAAATCTATCATTGTGGAGCAATGGAATATCTAAGTCAAATAACACTGATCCGTTTTGTGATAAGTGTTATTTATTTTCCGCATTTAGGTGCTTGTGCATTTACAACTTTAGTGACATTTGCAGTGCAGGTACATTCTCAACTCAACACTTTCCTTACCTCCACCATTTTGGAAGGCAAGGTATGGAAACCTCCACACGTTTCCCAGTCCCACGGCATAGCCAACCATGGACAGGATGAAATCCAATTTATTAGTCCAGTTTCCCCTGGCCTTATTCTCATCTCCACTCTCGTCCTCGTCTTCCTCCTGGGGAAAACAGTGGATTTTAGTGCTAGGTTTCATGTACATTAAATAACCATATTGGACTTCAATTTAGTATAGCCTATCATTAAAACGTCTCAGATCCCGAAACCCCCTGCCTTACTGGGCGAATGATTCGTTTCGTTTTTCGATCTATCAAATTAGCCACAAGTATAGGCTATTTGCAACAGTCAGAAAATACAAATACAGCCCGCTTCAACACACATAATAATCACGGGAATAACACTATTTGATTGATGCGAGCATTTTAAAACATGACAGGACAAATTCATATGAATATTCATAAATACAGATAATTCAAATGTCCTCATTTCTGATTCCGCGCCAAGAGGGGTAGAGGGAGACGAGACCAAGCTTATCAATGGAACACTGTCAGGCAGGCGCGCGGGCGGGAGAGGAGACCCGAGTGAGAGGAGGGGAGAGTGGCGAGGAATGCCCTCGCGGGGATTGGAACAATGGGCAGAGTCCGCAGCCTTATGTAACCCATTACCAAGCGCTGTCATGGGTTTACCGAGACCAATCCCGAGAGAGCATGATTTCTATCCCTCTTTCTAGCTATACCTGACACACGGAGCAGCGCAGTGCGGGGGATATACCATTACTGTATGCTGATACACAAACAACCATCTTACAGTAGGCCTATTCCTTTATCTCACTGCAGTGGGAAGATTCTGTCCATTCAGCACTTTCAGGATGACGTTTTAGACCAACTTTTGTTGACATAATTGAATCAAATAGGTAGCCTATTCTAGCCAAAGGCAGAGGGTCAGAAAATCGAAATAGATAGCCTACCTTTTTCGTTCTATATTTTGATCATTTCCCACAATAACTGGGAATTCTTCGAAACTATTATATTGGTGAATTCTAACCCTGATTCATAGCCAATTGCAACCTCTGGTCACTGCATCTGGCCATCGCAAATGGAAACTCACTTGAATAAGCTATATAGCTCATATTCTCAAATCACCCCTCAGCAGCAGTCTCCAGTGCTGGACAATCTCAGAAGAAGTCCCATGGGACCGTAATTACAACTTCTCCTCAGCCGCAACGTCACCCCCACCTCGGCTTCCTTATCAGTGAAAGACCCGAAAACACCACAGCCAATTCTCTATCCTAATAGGCAATACAGGTTGCATGTCATATAGATCACCATTCACTCCAAACCGCGGTTCGTCTTGTAGTCCAGAAACCCTCCTCTAAGCTCTCCTGACCCCGGTTGATTGGGCGATCCACCCCGTATAGAAACAATTCGTTTGAGCCCACTTACCCCCGTCACGGCGCCGGGCTGAACAGACGTGTTGCCATCTGCGCCCAGAATGATGGTGGTCTGGCTCATGGTGGTCCAGTTGCCCGATGCATTGTTTTGCTCCCCGGTGGCCCTAAGCGGGTCCCCGTACTGGACAGGGATACCCCGGGCAGCAGAACCACCAGCTGAGCTGGTAGAATCCTTACAGAAGGCCGAGTTCGTAGCCACGGATCCAGGCACCGCCGGAGCGGCGTTTTTAAAAGTCCCATAGACTTTACTGACTTCTCCCGGTTCTCCCGGTTTATTTTCCGTGGGACATAAAGTTTTGCTCTCGTTAGATGGTGCTGGCTGAGGGGCCGGGTAAGCGGCGGACGTTTGGTTAAGGGCATTATCCGGTTTATTTGCTGAAACTCCCACCGCTCCCTCGGGCTGGTACAACGGGTTAAAACCGGTAGGAGCATTGGCCGGCTGTTTGGTCATCTCTCTCTGGTCGGAGAAATCCTGCAACATGTCATTTACAGATGAAGGCTCAGCACACAAGACAAGGGGTAAAAAATCATATAAAAGGCTATACAAACAGAAACACTTTAAGATGTATTTACCAGGTCAGTGTTAACACTAATAGGCTATGAATTGAGAATGAGATTATTTTAGCGCTATTATTTTCAAATCAAACAAATAGGCTAATCACCTACAATAAAAATGCAGCAGTGGTGGGTGTTTCAGCAGTATTTTAAAAGCCCTTTGTCGCATGTTTTGGCTCCGCTGCTCCGGGCTTCAGATCACAGTCTGCGGGGGTTTGCTTCTCCTGTTCGCCTTTACTGCGAGATTCTTTAATTTTACGCCCCATTTCCCCCATGTCATTCAGCTCCACACAGCCACTGATTTTTATGGGCAATAGACAAGCTGCCGGGCTCTTGACAGCTCCCCTCTCCCTGGCAGGCATGTATGATCACCGGCATCAAGCTACAGCTCTGAGAGGACCCGGGCGTGCAGAAATACAAATTACTATCTCCGCATATATAGCCTAACCAAGAGGAATCAAAGCAACATAAGAGAGCACGGGATTTCTAAACACAAACATGCTACATTTAGGTTGAAGTAAAAAAAAAAAAAAGAGATACCGTTTCTGCGTGTTTTATCTAGCACCTTGCATTTGGCTATAAAAATGACATTATCTGATTTCGTTTCTCTTAAAAAGAAAACAAATACATTCAATAAAAAATAACCCTACTTGAAGTCCTTGAATGGAAAAGATCGAACGAAACAAGTATTTTTCGATTGAACTGAATGCATATTTTGCTCAGAGATTGCCATGTGAATGCGAGTTGTGAAAAGTTTTCGTGTGTGGAGCAGCGCTATGCAGCTGGATTTCAGCACCATGGACAGCGCACAACTCTGCTACTGAATACAACCCATTATCAAGCATGCAGATTTAATAAATTAAAATATTTCCACAAAACGAAGTTAGGCTGCTTCAACCATTTAGATAAATAAGATAATTGTATGACAAATGTAATGTAGAATAAAGAAAATAAAGAAAGTATGTAGCCTACTCACCATTTGTGAAGAGGCTTAAGACGTGCTGACGCTGAAAGGCTGAAAAACAGCTGTAAAGAGAACTGGAAGTAGGACTGGATTTGGCCGTGCTTAGTGCAAAGCTTTCTATACCTCAGTGGGAAAGATCGGGTTTGCGTCAGTGCGGAGCAAGGTGCCCTTCGCTTGACATTTTCTTGATAATAAGAGTTTGATAAATCATTGGCCTTGGATTCTGATTTTTAAAGCGACACCGGGTCGAAGACACGCCGAAACGAGCGCATGTTGTCCACGCACATGCCGCTCAGTGTGTACGTGTTTGGACTGACTCATTCACCAGCTGATTAATAATACACTTTTCTCTAGGGGATGTGTAAGTACACACGCGCTAGGGAGAATTTGCATGTAGGCCTACATACATTTTGGGGAGGAAGAATGCATGCAGCACTGCAATTCGTGAGAGAAAATGTACCATTCGTGGGAGAGGATTACATTGATGGGGAAACTATTTCGTTAGATGGTTTCTATTTTTGCTAGTCTATTGTGTTGTAAATATGCCTACTTTGCGTTTATGCTATTGAACATTTCTTAAGAAAGTAATATGTTGAAAACACTGGACATGTAGCTTAACATCTTGTATCATATATAACTTATTTAGCCTACATTTTAATATTAGGATCACGTAGAATTATATAGGCTACGACATATGATTATCAATATTAAAAGCAGATTTTTCGTTTCCATAAAGCCTGTGTCAGTAAATGTTTTTCACAGGCTATACAGTTTGGGCTAAACTGTATATTTAACAAAGATTATAAATATCCACCATAACAATTATTTACACCATTTCCCTTGTACAAATATGTGTGAAGTGTGACAAAAAACTGCAGACTACTGCAAAGTATTTTTTTTAAAGCCTCCAGGCTATATATAGGCGTTACTACGCTTCAAGGAATTTAAGCACACATGCGATATAGGGCTATACGTTTCTGTGTGCGTCACCGAGACAAGCCCTGATCAAGTGTAGAAAAAAGTGGGCGAGGTCTTCACGAAACGAATGAAGCTACTCATTTGTTAATCTCTTACCCAAGAAGGACACTTTTTTTAACACGTGCCCATTGAGGTATGGCGCTACGCTGGAGGCTTTGGAACTTTCCCAGCACCACAAATAGCCTGCCCTAAAATACTGCATTGCGCACGGCATTGTTCAGATTTCTCTTCCTTATTAACGAAATGTAGCCCTAATTCAAAATTGGTTCATTCTCGTGCGCAAAAAATCTCATGAGCATCCTATTTTGTTGTTATTTAGACAGCTGTTACGCAACCAACCCAAACCCTTGAGAAAGATACGGAAATAGTCAGAATAACACACAACCCAGCAGAAACGGTCCACCGACCTCGCAGTGTCTTTAAATGAGCTCTTCACTGTAGCCTGCGTGCCTTATTAAATGTGAGATAATCACCTGCAACGCTTGCTGCGCCCGTGGGGCCCGCGCCCCTGTTAAATCTGGGCCTCTACAGATAAGGGCCTCGCGCTGCTAAATTAGCTGGCTGCTCCAAGGTTTAATTACTTTGTCAACAGAGAACAATTGTAATTGATTTCTGCCCCTCTTTCCTTGTACTTCTCACACCTTCCACAAGACACAGAATGGGAGAGGGCAGGAAACAGAGTACACTCTAAGAAGAAATGGTTATTCAAGGATCCTTTTTGAGTTGCCACTGTGGGGGAACCTTTTTGAAAATGTTCTTTGAGGAACCTTTTGAAAACGTCCTTCAAGGAAATTTTTTTAGGAGGTATGAGTACATTTTTAAACCCTTTTATTAATAACGATATTTAGCAATAATGATAATAATAATCTATAATCACACAAAACATCCATGGGTAATTGAAGAAGATTTGTCAAAAGTATATACATATGTTGACATTTGAATTAGGTCTATTAAACATGAAACAACAATAATAAATACGAAAACAATAAATCCAAAACAAAACAACAAGCCCATACTTTGGAGTGAACACTTTTTTAAATGAATGGATATTATCCATATATTCCATAAATATTATATTATGAAAGCTTAAAATCTTGAAGTGGTCATGGTGTTACTTTAATGCCACACCTCACACATGGAAATAATTGATTTGTGCTCATCCATTATTCACCCTACTCAACACAAGAAGATACATACATTTCACAGGAGGTGTGACAGCAAAGTATGCTATAGTCAAAGTTCAGATTTAAACCAATTACATAACCGTTGGTTACCAACCACCATAGACAGATGAAGGCATGGAGTTCCATAGTCTGGGTGATGCCCTGGAGAACGCCCTGTTGCCAAAACAGTGGAGGTTGGATTTGGGGATGATGACATCAGAGGAGACTGGTGGGAGGAGCAATAGGAGGCTCATTTCTGGCCTCCACTGAAGGCCCGGCACTCTTTCTTGCCTTATCTTTTGGCTGAGGCATTTGGTGAACAATGACTGTAAGAAAACATTGTTTGAAGTAGTAATATTTCAGATAATATGTAAGCAAGACAAGTCATAGAAATCAAGTGGCGTTTGCATGTATTTGAGCTATTAACGTTTTGTTGGTGACCTGGTATGCAGAAAACACTGAGCGGAGCTATAATTCTATAACGCAACATACAGTGCCGTCAGAAAGTATTCACACCCCTTTACTTTTTCCACCTTTTGTTGTGTTACAGCCTGCATTTAAAATGGACTAAAATGAGATGTTGTGTCACTGATCTACACACAATACCCCATAATGTCAAAGTGGAATATACAGTGCTATGAAAAAGTATTTGCCCCCTTTCTAATTTTCTCTACTTTTGCATATTTGTGATACTGAATGTTATCAGATCTTCAACTAAAACCTAATATTAGATAAAGGGAACATAAGTGAACAAATAACACAACAATTACATATTTATTTATTTCATAAACAAAGTTATGCAACACCCAATTCCCATGTGTGAAAAAGTAATTGCCCCCGTACACTCAATAACTGATTTTGCCACCTTTAGCTGCAATGACTCCAACCAAATGCTGATCAGTCTCTCACGTCGCTGTGGAGGAATTTTGGCCCACTCTTCCATGCAGAACTGCTTTAACTCAGTGACGTGTGGGTTTTCAAGCATGAAATGCTCGTTTCAAGTCCTGCCACAACATCTCAATTGGGATTAGGTCTGGACTTTGACTAGGCCATTCCAAAACTTCCAATTTGTTCCTTTTTAGCAATTTTCATGTAGACTTAATTGTGTGTTTTGGATCATTGTCTTGCTGCATGACCCAGCTGCGCTTCAGCTTCAGCTCACAGACGGATGTTCTGACATTCTCCTGTAGAATTCTCTGATACAGAGCAGAATTCATGGTTCCTTCTATTAAGGCAAGTCTCCAGGTCCTGAGGCAGCAAAGCATCCCCAAACCATCACACCACCACCACCATGCTTGACCTTTGGTATGATGTTCTTACTGTGGAATGCAGAGTTTGGTTTTCACCAGGCATAATGGGACCCATCTCGTCCAAAAAGTTGACTTAAGTTTGCCCAAAAGCACCTGGATGATCATCAAGACTCAAGGAAGAACGCTCTATGGACAGATGATTCAAAAGTATAACTTTTTGGACGACATGGTTCTGCATGGAAGAGTGGGCCAAAATTCATCCACAGCGACGTGAGAGACTGATCAACAACTACAGGAAGCATTTGGTTGGAGTCATTGCAGCTAAACGTGGCACAACCAGTTATTGAGTGTAAGGGGGCAATTACTTTTTCACACAGGGGAATTGGGTGTTGCATAACTTTGTTTATGAAATAAATGAAATAAATATGTAATTGTTGTGTTATTTGTTCACTTATGTTCCCTTTATCTAATATTAGGTTTGGTTGAAGATCTGATAACATTCAGTATCACAAATATGCAAAAGTAGAGAAAATTAGAAAGGGGGCAAATACTTTTTCATAGCACTGTATGT